CCGGTACGGTCTGTTCCGTCTGTCCACTCCATTTCCAATGCGCCCTGGAGGCGTCACCAACGTGCCGCAGTCCTCGCCCTCGCCCTCGCCCGCCCACGCCAACAGCATCTACAGAAACAACAACAAAAATGTGTCAAAGTGTGCCGAGGAAAAGTTTCGTTTGGACCCGAATACCAAAATAATTTAAGATATTTTGTGTCTACTAATTCGAACCGTCCGTAGCTCCGGCCATGGTTAACACATTGCCGCATCTTTGATTTGGTGTTTTCGGTCCTGGTCCTGGTTCTCGTCCTGGTTCTGGACTGCGGCGGGACCCCCACTCAAGTATGTAATTTAATTTGCCTAAACTTGGATACTTTTATGTTTGCACGAGCCAACTATAGTCGGACTCGGACTCTATTTCTTGCTCTCGAATAGCATATTTGCTGGCCAAATGGAATGTCTCTTCTATGCCCATTCCATTCCCTGGCCATTGTAATTAAATGACGAGCTTTCGTGCTGAAAGTGCGAAACTAGCATTGAATTCCCCCAAAAGAAACTATGCCCGAATGGAATGGAAATTAAATCTGTGTCGCTGGAAAAGTTTCCTTTTGTTGGTGGAGAATAATGAAATAGTTGAAAAGATTCATCACAAGTCGAATCAAAGTAATATTTACGGGCTGTCTTGAACCCAAACTCAGTTCCAAAGAAGGGCGAGTCTCCGTATGATAAATTAAGCGGTGAGATACATATGTACATATGTAATGAAGAGAGAGAGAGAGAGAGAGAGTGGTGGCGCGTTCTTTTTGAGTAAATGTCTAAAACCTGATGAAAACTCATCCGTTACTAATAAGTTATTCTGGAACAGAAAACCCCTTTCATAAGAAATAAAATTAGTCTAGTAACTATTTCTGTTTATATCTCTGCTCTGAAAAATCAATTGGAATTGCCAGTACAAAAAAAGATGCAAAGTAAAATCCACTAATCCGCCACTATGTGAACTGTGTTTTTATACCCGATACTCAAAATGAGTATTGGGGTATATTAGATTTGTGGTAAAAGTGGATGTGTGTAACGTCCAGAAGGAATCGTTTCCGACCCTATAAAGTATATATATTCTTGATCAGCATCAATAGCCGAGTCGATTGAGCCCTGTCTGTCTGTCCGTCTGTCCGTCCGTCCGTCTGTCCGTATGTCCGTCCCCTTCAGCGCCTAATGCTCAAAGACTATAAGAGCTAGAGCAACGATGTTTTGGATCCAGACTTCTGTGATATGTCACTGCTCCAAAAATATTTCAAAACTTTGCCCCGCCCACTTCCGCCCCCACAAAGGGCGAAAATCTGTGGCATCCACAATTTCGACGATACGAGAAAACTAAAACGCAGAATCGTAGAAGATGACTATATCTTCTAGAATGCAAAATCTGAACCAGATCGTATAATTATTACAGCCAGAATCACGAAAACAATTTCACTCTTTCTCGCTCTGTCTCACTCTAACACACAGGTTTCATGGTCGGTTTTGCCAATTGCAAAATATGAGTTCAAGGATCTCAGAACCTATAAAAGCCAGAGCAACCAAATTTGGTATCCACACTCCTGTGATATCGGACCTTGACCGTTTCCTGTCCAAATTTCGCCACACCCCCTTCCGCCCCCGCAAAGGACGAAAATCTGAGGCAACCACAAATCTCAGAGACTATTAAGGCTAGAGTAACCAAATTTGGTGCACACACTCCTTTAAGATGTCACTATAAAACGTATATCTCAGAAGAGAGAATTGAAACTCCACGCACCTTTCGTCTAGGGGATATCACGTAATACCCAGCCTTAGAACAGGTAATTGGTGCCTCATGCAGCAACTTGGTAATTGTAGTCTCTGGTAAAACTCTCTTTAATTTAAATAGCGCATATGCAGCTATAAAAAGTAATTTCATATTTTGGAATCAATTAAAAACAGTAATCCCATAATGGATTTTTCAGAATGTAACCCCTGACTTTTACATCAGGTAACGCTCTTATCACAGCCCATACACCCAGAGCCAGAGCTCCGCCCAATGTTTCGCACGCTTAACAATAAATTGATGCCGTAACATGTGTAAAATCTGTAAAATCTGCTTACTAAATGCACATAAATCGGCGATTTGTTGCGGTTGAAGAGCGAGTGAAAGTGGGAAGGGGAAAGTAGCGCAAATTAACATAATCCCGGTGATAATTGAAAAACCCATTTGCGGCCATGTTACATTTTTTCTTTTTTGTTGAACAAACAATTTTCTGAATATTGAGTATCAACGATTTGGCTTGTCTATTATTGCATTTTAATCGCGTCTGAGCCGATGGGCTTTAACAAGACCTGCTGCTGCTGAAGCTCTGCTTTCGGCTGTGATAACCGATGGCCAACAAAGTTGCCACAAGAGCCCTGGATACTCTCATAGATAAGGATAAGCTGGCGGCAGCGGCAGGTGCAGGTGCATGTGCAGCACTTCAGCACTTCTAGTACATCACAATCAATATTAATTACGAAACGTAAATGTGGCACAATGTTGCTGCACTCATGGCCATTAACCTGCCAATGCAGTTCATATAATTAGGGCAGGTGGCCCAAAAGCCGGACTCTGACTCGACCCAATGCTCATAAAATGCTCGATAGACAGCCCGAAATGTAGCTGGTCTTGGGCCTGAGACTTGGCTAAGACCCGTGTCGGCCGGGAGTGGACTGCTGTTCTGCTGCATTGGCTTCGTATTTCAGCCGCGCAGAGACCGAAATAAAATTAAAAGTTTGTGTTCGCACAGGCCCCGAGTGCTCGTACAGACAGGCCGTTACCCCACTCTCCCGCGGCTGGCTAAATGCATAAAACTTGATATTTTATGTAGGGGGCCCAAAGCTCCCGCCCACCCAAGTGCAATCTCTATGCTGCTGCCGGAACCGCCCTCTGCCCTCCTCCGTTGTCGTTGCCATTGTCGTGGCCGTTGTCGTCGTGTCCCATGACAATTGCAACCGGAAACGCGCATAAATGTTGGCAGCTAACTCGATTTTTTGCCCCGTCAGTGCTGCAGTGTGCTGCTGCTGTAAAATATTGCAACAACATTGTTGGGAACCAAGAGGAATACTCTTCTAAAATGCGGGTGCTTTCAGTTATTTCTGAATTAGCGGGCGTAAGGACACATTTTCAGGGATAATCAGCTTAATAGAGTATCCAGCTATCACACAGAGCCTGCAACGGAAGCGTTCGCTTCAGTTTTTGGCAAATCACGGCACGCATCGCGGAGCACACACTTAACGCCTTTGGGGAGTCGCGAGTCAACATGCCTTTTTGTTGCCTCTGATGTTTGGGGCTGCCACTGGAGCAGCCACTGCACGGACCATAAGTTGGAGGCATACGCCCTGAACAGGGCAATGTTTTGCTTATTTACGGGTTAATTGGTCGTCGGGGCCTGCCACATTACTCATAATCCATAAAAAACCGTCATCGAAATAGGGCACAGCGCACACTTCATTAAAATGGCTAAACGGAACGGGGAGGCATAATTTTCGAATTAAAATTCAAAAGTTTGCCATGCCAAATAATGAACTCGCTCCACAATCTGTTGCCAATAGTCAAAAAGTCATAAATTTCAAATGCAGCAACAATAGCAGCAGCAGCAACAGCAGGAGTGGCAAGCGCAAAAACGTATGGCCCCAAGAAATGTTGAAAGAGGCGAGCGCAAGAAATTTGTCGTTGTCGTTTGTCGTTTGTCGTTTGCCGAGTCGGAAAATTACTCCTGAATTCATCCATGCATTGTTGTTTCGGTGGGCCATTGGGCGGGGGGCGCTGCCAATAATAATAATAATCATAACGGCAGCCGAAGAAGCAGCAGCAACGGCATCGGCAACTTCACGCCAAAAGTGCCAAAAACATTTCAATGATGGTGCCTCTGCCTCTGGGCTCTAGCACCTCTCCTGCTCCTTCTCATTCTCCTCGTCGCCTCGTCTGCTGCTGCAATAATTTTCAAATTTTCATTTGCCATTGCGCCTCCGAAAACACAGCACAGATGTTGCTCTCTGATGGCTGGGCGAGGGGTAGGACCCGAGAAAGTAAGAATATATAGCACCTTCCTCCCCAATACACAACTCCAATGGCAATGGCAATAGCAATCGCAATCGCAATTCAAACCCTCCGGCCAGCATACTCGTACACACACAATTGAAAACCGATTTTTCTTTCATTCTTTTTTCCGTAAATTATGTGCCAGAAATTGGACTTTTGGGTTCGTTCGGAATTCCGAGGCTTTGTATCGGCACGGCTCCAGTTGGAGGAGGTGGCTCTTGGCTCCATGGCTCCATGGCGCATGGCACATGGTACATGGCACATGGCTCTGGCTCATAATTATGTTGGACCCCGGTCGCCTGGATAATTTGTTTGTTATGCAAGCGCTGGGGCTTGAGTGAGCAACGACGTATTGTTGGGCACCTGTCAACAGCTGCAGGAAATTAATTGGTTACACTTTGACTCTGCCTTGTGGTCCAAACATGCACTAATCACGTGTAACAGATCAAATTACGAGTAGATAATACCTCAGAGGTCTGGCTACTGTTGAATTTACGGAGTTTTAGGCACACCTTTCACTCTTCCAATTGTTTCGATGAAGGCTTCGTTCCCTCCATTGTTCGTTTTCGCCCACAATTTCCACATGCCACCTGCCCCCTGCCACCTTCCGCCCTACGCAGACACAATGGGAGACTGGAATCCCTGTCAGTTCTGAGCAGCAGCAGAAACCTTAGAGGAACTGCTCCCAAAAATTCACTACCATATAAAGTTTTTCCTTTAAATTTTCTTAAAGTGAACACTGATTTCAGTGTTTACCTACACGTTTATAGCAGTATATTTTCCCTGAGTATGGAAAATCGTCGTCCAGAATACGTTATGAAAACATAATCGAAAATTAATACCAATTTCAGTGGCCTTTGCAATACGGCTCAAATAGCTAGCAATCAATACCATAACTACCTTATAGGACTTAATATAATCTGGATCATTTGTACAATAAAGCTGGTGTAAAGTAAGTAGTGCAGCAACTCGACAGGTAACTCATAGTGCAACGCCGAAAAGCCAATTGAAAAGCCAACATCAGCTGTGAAAAGAAGCCAATTTACACAGCTACAAATTTACCAACTTTTCACCGAGAACCCTAACAATAGCGATGGCCAGTGCCACACTGAAACGCGGCTTAGACCGGGAGTCGATGAACCAGCGGCCCCCCAAGCGTAGGCGTTGCAATCCCTTTGGCCAGTCGGCGGTCCCGTCGCGAGACCGCGATGGACCCACCATCTCTTCGGTGTTAGCGCAGACGCCCAGCAATCGCTTCGCCAAAGACCGCTTTGAACCGAGCCCATTCTCGGAGGCCGCGCTGGCCCAAATGTCGCCTGACAAAATGGCCAAAAATTTGTGCAACGAAATCAAAAGACTGCACAAAGGCAAGCAATTGCCTATCACGGCGGCCGCCATTGAGCGCATGCAGAACTCCGAGTCGAGCGGTTCGGAAATGGGCTCGGACAGTCCACCGAACCTGATGCGGCACTGCGAGAAGGCGTTGTTCACATTCCAACAGGTGCAGCTCATATGCGAGGGCATGATCAAGGAGCGCGAGAATCAGCTGCGCGAGCGCTACGAGTCCGTACTGACCACCAAACTGCACAAGCAGCACGATGCCTTTGTGAAGTTCACGTACGACCAGATACAGTGTCGTTACAAGGCAGCGCCCAGCTACTTGTCGTAGGGCACACCAACAAAAAATGTAATAATAACAATAGTTGCAACACCATCTTAAGTGACGGTAGATCTACCGCAACAACAGGAGTCCTCATTAAAACTAAGTCAAGAAACATGGGAAACTAAACAAGAAAACCATAGCTTACAGGAAAACTACCATACAAATTGTAAATTGTGTTTATTGGGTTTATGATAAATATTTTGAAATAAATGTAAAGTTAAAGTTTACGACTTGAACTACATTATAAAAGTATTTTTAATAATTATATTACATAATGTTGTCTGTGTTAATTGTTATTATTAATAGTAAATGACCTAATCAAACAAAAACTAAAATTAAATATAAAAAATGCTGTACAGACCAGGGGAAAAAAACATGGCGGCAGGCAACAGCGACAGCCCACAAAACAAATATGCTCATATTTAAAACAAATAAAAATTAAAACCTTCAAGCTAAAATATATCGATCAATAAATTTCGCTCACACCCAAATAAAGTAACAAAGGTACATCGCTGCAATACTACATATGTATATACATATATATCCATTCGATGTACACAAAAAACGGAATCTAAACCATTATATATATATATTATACTGCTCTTAACTACAAATGTATCAATACCTACATATTACATAAATTAGAATACGATATACATCTCTGCAATACCAAAAAAAAAACAGCATGTCATTTCGATAATAAAAAGTAAAAATAAATATATTTCAAGTTTAAATAAAATATTTTAATTTTTAGATTAAATATCTTTCCTACCAATTGAATAAAATTGAATATTCATTAAATATGGAACGTATTATATACATAGCCCGATATTAGCCTTAATATTTCGCCTGATATTTGAATTTGGTCTTTATATAGAACTCACTTCCCGCACATCGCACAATGGATCTTCAATCTGCCTCAGTCTTGACCCCGACCCCGACCCCGATGTTCAATCCGACCCCATCTTGAATTGATCAACTTACTCATCGCTAAATCGCGATAGCTATCGCAAACATACTCTGCTGAAAAAGCTGAGCAGGTTTACTATGTCACCTTTACCTTGAGTGTATATGGTATTCACTGTTTAAATAGTTCCAGCAGTTGATTACTGAATGACTGCATGACCAGGCAATCTGTTTAGGTCAATCCATTACTACAGTGTTTTCCATTCAGGACAAAAAGAAAAACACGATCAGCTACGTCATCAATTAGTTACTGGGCTATTTCTTTCAGGCAGTTTATTCACTTCGCATTTGTTTCCAGCTTCTTCTGTCATATTTATTTTCAATTATAACGAATGCCACTTTGTAATGGTCTTTTATTATTTGCACAAAATATTTTTTTATGCTTGTACTGGAGAGAGCTTTTCTTACTGCTGTTCTTCTGTTGTTGTGGTTTTTCTCTTCTTTCTTTTACTACATACCAAACATTTTTCATATTTTCCGCATTACTTGCATTTATATACAAAGCTTCAGACTGCCAAACATACACATACGCACACACACACACACACACACACACACACACACACACACAATGTTATCTCTCAGCTTCCGGCTGAAAGCATTTCTTACTTCGCTTCCATTCCGCAGTCAGTCTTCGGCGCTGCGGCGCTCACTCCCTCGCATCATCAATGGGCGGCAACGTGACCACCAAGTTGTCTTGGAAAATGGTCAAAAAATAAATGGATGATTGAATGAAAACCCCGCCAGCTGGCAGAAGGAGCAAATCTATATGTACGTCGAGGATATGCAGGAACAAAAGTGGCCATCGCCAGCACAAGTCCAAGTCATCCCGAGTCTTTAAAGCCATTGGCGGCCGCCAATTTCCGGCTCTGCGTTTTCTTCTTCTTCACTCTCTTCTGCTGGCACTTTTGCTTTGCCACGGATATTCTCTTCTCCACTTCCGTTTTGGGCAACAAGATGCTGTGTGCAACGTCTTGCATTCATTGGCCATAAGCTTGCAATTTGTGTCGTGCCGTGCCTTGCTGTGCCCTGGCCCCACTCTTACTTAAAGCTCACTCACTTGCCCAGCCAAAAGTTGGTTGGCCCAATTTGGCTGGACTCGGACTCGGCTTCGTTGTTAGCCTCAGCCGCCGCTTCTTTTGCTCCAAATCCAGTTGGAGCTGCTTTATTAAATTTAACCCAAGCCCCAGCCCCTGCCCGAGCCCCAGCCGCAGCCCCATCAGCTGCCCAAGACCGAAACCGAATTCGAGATCTCTGTCCGTGTCCGAGCGATGACTTGAAGTCAATTGCCGCGCTAAATTTTAGCTCCAATTTCGCGAGCAGTCGAGAAAAAGACAAGCCCGAGTCCCCGGCCATTAAAATGCTTGTTTTCGCTTGGCCTTATTATTACATACATATTTTCTTTTTTGCTCCCTGTCATCTCGTTTCGAAGCCATACAGCCTTCATGGGCCCCTCCTCCAGGTCCCAGACAAGCAGTCTGCAACGCGTCTTCGGGGATAATTGAAATTGTTTGCACAATTTTACACTCCAAAGGCTAATGGAGTAGTCGACCGAGTCGACTGACTGGGCGCCTAACTGAAGGCGAGGCCAACGAGATGGTCCAACAGCAGATACAGTGGCCCCCACAGTTTGCTAACTGGAGGCCATTCTGTGTGTAGGAGCAGGCGGAATCTCGAGCACCACAAAGCAAAACGCCAAAGCCACTGCCCCACTGCCCACTGCCCCACTGGCCCAAGGCTGCACCGCCAGAAGTTGTGTTGCCAGTGAAATGTTAAGCAAATTGAATTTCTGCATAACAAATTGCAATGCAGATAATTTGTGTTAGATAACAAAAGAAACTGAACTGAGGCAGGCCACAAAGCGAGCCACAAACAAATTAAATAATAAGCTAGATGACCTTCAAGGCTTCTCTTCAAGGATTTCTCAAGTATTGCCAAGAAATTGAAGTCCCAGGGGCAAATCCTGCAAAGCTGAAAAATATGCAGTACATTTTTGAGGGCATGATGGGAATTACTGACAAAAGGATAAGAGTACCACTGCAATTACCAGAAAATTCTTGATTTTCAAAGGTAAGAGAGATCTCCGTAAATTTAAACCCACATTGGCCTTTCCGCAAGAATGCAGACAAAACATTAAAAATCCATAAGAACATCATATATTTTTCTGTCTCGATAATATTTTCTTAACTTAATAAAAGTTAAATAGTTTAACCAATTAACTTTGATATTTCTGTAGTCGTGCTTTCCCCGTATAAAACAGATGATTCTTGATAAAAGTTATCCACAGATTCTCCGCGAATTTTATACAAAAAAACAGGGAAGGTTTTACCATTTAATAGCTTGGAAAATCAATCAATATTTCATGTATGTACCTATTAGTACAACAAGTATTACAGATAATGAGTTTTTGAGATTTCTTACCAAAGGTCAAAAACCACTTCTGTTTTTAGTAGCGTATACTCGTATCTGTCTGTCTCTTGATTGGAATGCAATTACAATTGTAATTACTATTTTTACAGCCTTGGCCTTGAGTTGGACTCCTGACAGACACAGAGACAGACAGAGGCAGACACCTGTGCCAGCGAACCCTAGATGGCAAGAAGGGTGTCAAGAAAAGGAAAAGCCATTTGCATATTAGAAGTGTTTTTCACACCTCAGACACCCACAGACAGTGCAGACTGGAAAGGGCTTCCCTTCCCCTACCCTTTCCCCTTTCTCCTCTTCCCATTGCTGCTTATTGTTTGTGTACGTACGCATAACGCCCTGCAAATAAAAGAAGAAATTACAGCTCATTAGAAATATGAAACAAAAATGTAAATAAAAAAAGAAGGCAAAGCACACGCTGCGGGGGGAAAAGGTCTAGAAGAGCAGTAAAAGCAAACAGCAGGAGGCCAACAGAAAAGGATTCAGACACAGCACCAGTGGCTGTGGCAGTGGCAGTGGCAACAACAGGATATGCCAAGGCAGAGACGAGTGAAAAATGTAAATAAAATATTGCACATGGTGTGGGGGGAGAGCCCAGGAACCACTTGAACACGTTGTCAAGAAGTGTGGCTTGCTACATACATAAATATGTATCTTGGGGGATGGGTGTGTCAGCAGCAACAACACCAGCAGCAGCAGCAGCAGCAGCAGCAGGAGAAGGAGCAGAACGAAGCAACATCAGCCAAGACACATTATGCGTCGTTTAAATAGCCATAAATCTTGCATAAAAGCACGCGTCCAGCAACAACAATGGAGACGGCACTTGACTGCAACTTTAATATGGAAAATCAGTTGGCTAACGACAACGTGGCAGCAACAGCAACAGCAGCACCAACAACACTGGATATTTGCAAAGCTAATTTAGCATCAAGTCAGAAGTTGGGATCTGAGAGCTGAGAGCACACGGGTCATCAAGTCATCAGGCGGTATGAACACCCTCCTCCTATTTTAAGTTTGACCCAAAGTCTCCGGAGTCGCCGAGTCAAATTGAATTTTGCCACCAAGGCGCTTTGCCGGCATCAATATGGACTCAAAGGGGATCAGCGCTAAATGCTGCACGCAACGTCAACGCCATCCATCTTACTTAATGTCAGCTGCAGCGAGGCAGCAGCACCATCCCCACAGCAGGAGGAACCTCCAGCACTTTCCTCATTATGCGATGACAAAACAACAACTATTAAGAGGCGCCTGCAGAGGCAGCAGCAGCGACAGCAAGCGGAAGCAACAGCAGCGTCCACACTTTTATGATTTGCTAACGACAAGAGCTGCGTCGCTGGCTGCGTTGGCTGTTTAAAAATCAATTTCAACGCCGCATGCAGTCCTTGCAGTCCCTGGCCTTCCACCTTTAAGGCAGCAGCATCGGGGGCCCGTGTGCCTTCTGCTTATATTCCTGTCAGACAGCGAGGACGAGAACGAGGATGAGAACGAGAGCGACAACGCCTCATGCGCCTCGTACACAACAAAAGCCAATAGACGTCAACGTGATGGGAACAGGCTTCAGCAGGAGCAGCAGCATCAGCAGCAGCCATCATCGCACATCTCCCATCAGACCTAGCCCTGAGCTCCGTAGTCACAGAGGCACACAGGATGAAGCAAAAGCAGGGACAGTGGCAGTGGCAGTGGCAGTGGCAGCGGCAGCCTTTCTTTGGCCTGGCAGCCGGCATGCGTCAGGTGTCCCATTTTAATAAATTATGCAGCCTGCTAAATGCTTAAACAATTGAATTTCATA